TGAAGAAGTGGATAAGACCTTTTATTTAAGAATCAAAATTTGTGTATAGTAATATGTAATCATACTCTATATTTATTTAAGGATCTTTTTATAAAACCGATTTATTATATTAATTTTTTTTTTAAATTCAGTTCATTTATTAATTTTGTTTTAAAATCAGTTCATCATTTGGCAACGTGTTCATTGTTTACATTTTAATTTGTATCAATTACAATTCGAGTTTTTCTTACTTTTTAGCTTTAAATTTGTTTATTTTTAATAGTATGTGATACTGTTTATGTTAAAAATGAAATCTGCGAAAAGTCCCCAGCAAATTGCAATCTATATGGTGTTAATGTCAAAATCAAAACTGAAGTATTCATTATTTTCCAAGTACAAGTCGTAAAATTTAGTTTTTTACCATAAATGGATATCTACAAATTCAGAATATTGTAATTTTGCAAAACTTTGTTTAGAATCGAAACTGTAATCTGATTTGTGACGGTTTTTATTACCATTTTATTACCATACAGTATACAAAGTACTACATATAATTCACTTCATAATATAAGAAGACATCTAGTAAGATTTTTAAATAGGTTCATCAATAATAAAAGTTTGGTACTTGAAATGTCCTTTAAACCATATAATAAAACATGTCCTGGGTTTAACAAATATACTGTATAACTCAAGTGGATTGTCCATATCTACTCTTGTTGTACAAACTACTATTTTATGACTGCGAAAATGAGGGAAATTTTTGTGATGAAAATTTTTCAGTTTTTTCACTTAATATAAATATATATTATATATGATATTTTATCCATTTTCATAGATTCGCCAGAATTTTTTAACTTAACTTCAGTAGGTATACCTCTAGAACTATTATGTATTATAGGGCTAGGGCTTTAGCCCCCCCAGATCTGATGACATAACTTCGCCCATGCCGTCATCCCACGATTCTTTGCAATTTCATCAGTTTCATATTTTTTGAATTTCTCTTTATAAAGGGAACACAAATGATACAGTTCTTTTCTCACAGAACCGGGATGGAACTTAATATTGTTTGAATTTAGCCAATTCTGTAAATCTTTTTTTAACCACTTGGTTGTGGGCATTTTTTCTATAAGTCTCGAGTGATAACTTGCATTATTCATTACTATTATACAGTTCTGAGGAAGAAGATCTATAATTTGTTCGAACTACTCTTTAAAGACATCAGCGTTCATGTCCTCATGGTAGTCACCGGTACGAGTATTTTCAAAAGTCAATAAACCACCTTTAACAAAACCGTTTGAACTACCGATGTGTACTATTATTAATCTGCGCCCCTTTCCTGATGGTGGATTTAAACCAGTAGATGAATTATTTAAAAAAGCCTGTCTTCGACTTGTAACAGTTTCATCTTGCCAAAATTTATTTGGTTTATGTCCCTCGTTGATCCATGTTTCATCTAAATAAAATATATTTCTTCTTTGGTTTCTCATTTCTTTTATAGTCCTTAGGTAATTTCTTCCCCATGCTACAATATCGCTTCTTTCTATTAAAATAGACTTTCTGGAATGCTTTTTCCATAGAAAACCTATTTCTTTTAAAAGTTTCCATAGTGTGCTTCGACTCATTTCAGGGCAATCTTTATCATCTCGAACCGTGGCAAGAACTTTGTCTACTGTCGGAAATTTTTTTCTAAAGAAGAACGCATACACTTTCCTTCGAAGTCTTTCTTTCAAAAGATTTTCTAATTGAAATTTTGGGAGTTCCTGGAGCTTTACGTACTGTTTGAAACGCGCCACATTTCTCTTCTTTAACAACTCTGTAAATCGTAGATTTCCCAACACCAAGCGTACTACTAACTAATTCCACTGTGTTATCAACACTTTTAAATAAATGTTTGTCTGTAAATGATTTAAAACAATTAAATATTAATGTTTTTTAATTAACTGTTGAAGGACCAATTTTTTGTCGTTTACGCGGTCCTTCCAAATTTTCCATGATCACACTAGAATTCACACTGCACCTTGCAAGTTGCAACTAAACGACATTTAGTAAACTGTCAAGAATACACAACTTGGACCTCCTTACTAAATGGAAAACCTATAATCGCATTTTCGGTGAAATTTGTTGGGAAGGTATTTATCTACTCATAATTCGATTACTGTAAGAAATTCTTGGAATTAAAATAAAACAAAATTGGCAAATAGGTACTTATTGAAAATAATCTTAAGATACGGCTATGTAATCTTTAATACACAGGGCTTTTAGCCTGTCCAAACCTTTTTCTATTGTTCTGTACAGCTTTTGTTTATAAAGGACCAATAAAAGACCCAAAACTTGTAATAGCTCAGGTACATTTATTACAATTTTAGGAAATATTTAGATTATTCTGTAAAAATATTTAAAATGACCGTACTAAGTTTTGCATTAGAAATGCTGTTTTATTACTCTCTCATACATAAAAATAGACTATAAATATTGGTTATCTTTGAGGTTACATTCATGACGGCATTAAAAGTCACTCATATTTTATTTGCTAATGTTTGTGACTGTGGCTATATGCAAAATTTGTTGCATTATATTTAACACTGCTATAATAGCATTCTACTTTTAACATTACTTCATTTGATTTTATATTTTTTATAGAAACATTTCTATGTTATGATAGGAAGTAATGTAAATAAACTGATGTCCATGAAGGAATGTAATCTTATATTATTTAATAATATATGAGTAGGTATACTAATTAAAGCATACTTGCCATTTCAAGGCCAACAGTAGTGTTTTAACAGTAAAACTTCTAACGAAAATAATTATCAATAGACATACATGATAAATGATAATGCGAAGTCTTTATCAATATCCGTATCACACGTGATTAAATTGTTGTCACCATTTCTCTAAAAGTAATATTAATAATTTCAGTAGTAACCAATGACATATAGTTTAATAGACTGCTCATCCATATATAAACAAGACCACGAAAAGCGGGTCATATTACCTTGCAGTGCTCACGAGGCAGAATCGGTCTGGCCCAAATGAGTTTAAAACTCATATTTCATCAAAGTAGGAATTTAATTTTAAAAAATCATTACCTAAATGTTTTATTTAAAACAGGAGCTTGCGTTAGGTATTTTGAAAAAGAATATACAGGGTGTTATTGAAATACACGTACATATTAAAACTGGGTATTGCGCAGATCCCCACTGAATGTAGAAAAATATTATTTTTTAAAAATACCCCTTATTAAGGGAGTTATTAATTTTTGAAAATTAATTCTAAAACAAACGTACTTCACTGATATGTTGAGGATGACCTATATAAATTAGGTTTATTTACCTATTTTAAACATCAACAGTAATTAATATGCAAGTTTTTGTCAGATGATAAGAAAACTAGTCTTGTAAGAAATAACCATGTTGCCAAGATTTTCGAATTAATTTCTATTTCCGAAGACTGGTTTTTACTACCCTCGTTATCAAAAAACTAGAATATTTGATAAATGATTGTTTTTAAACTATACATTTTTGAAACTATAGATTATTAAAATTTTAGTTTATTTACGAATCTGGCTAACACGAGCGCGTCATTTCCAAGTTGGTAAAAAGTGTTGTTACGATTACTTTTAAATATTTTTTTTACGATGCCACTATTTACGAATATTGAACTAACGGATATGGTGCTGGTTTATGGGGCAGCTGGAGAAAATTCTCGGCAAGCACAAATCCTGTATCGCGAACGGTTTCCAAATCGGAGAATTCCGGACTGTCGTACGTTTATTTCAACTGTTCAGCATCTAAGAGACCATGGAAAATTTGAGAGTGTCAATGCAGATCGAGAGAGAACAAGAACACAAAGAACATTGGCGGCCGAAGAAGAAATATTGGAAGCTGTTGAAAACCGGCCTCAATTAAGTTGTAGAAGACTAGGTCTTGAAATTGGAGTGTCCTCATTTGTTGTGTGGCGGACACTTAAAGAACAAGGTTTACATCCTTATCACATCCAAAAATTCCAGGCCTTATATCCAGGTGATGAAGAAAAGAGAGTGGAGTTTTGTGAATGGATGATTCAAAAATGTGTTGATATTCCTGATTTTCTAAAAATATTATTGTATACTGACGAGGCTTCATTCACTCGTGATGGCGTGTTCAATATGCACAATACGCATATTTGGAGTGATGAAAATCCTCACGCCATTAGGGAAACTGGGCATCAAAGAAAATTTTCAATAAATGTTTGGGCTGGCATAATAGATCAGTATTTAATCGGGCCTTATGTTCTCCCGAACAGATTAAATGGGCCAGGATATCTCCACTTTTTAGAAGATATTTTGCCAGTACTCCTAGAAGAGATACCGTTACAATTAAGGCAACGGATGTGGTACCTACTAGATGGCGTTCCTCCTCACTTTGATTTAAACGTACGGCAGTTTTTGAACATTAGATTTCCTTAAAAGTGGATAGGCAGAAATGGACCTACTAAGTGGCCTCCGAGATCTCCGGACTTAAATCCATGCGATTTCTTTTTGTGGGGTCACATGAAACAACTGGCTTATAATGAACCTATTAATAGTGTTGAAGAATTAACCAATAAAGTTAATGCGGTAGCCGAGGAACTACGACAAAATCCAAGACTAATTTCTAATGTTCAAAGTTCTTTGGAAAGACGATTGCAAGTGTGTGTAAATAATAATGGACGGCATTTTGAACAATTACTGTAATAAACTTTATTTTGAATTAATTGGTTTTGCCACGGCAACAGTGCAATTTCTATGGGTAAGTTCAATGTCGATTTATTTTACTTCTTTAAATATGGAAACTAGTAGGTCGGAAAAGGGGACTCTTCCCCAATATTTAAATTTTAGAATTTGAAGTTAAAATTGGTGCCAATCGTTTTTGGTCATTACATACTATTCCCCATTTTAATATGTACGTGTATTTCAATAACACCCTGTATATTTGTTTGAGTCGTAAAGTTTTGATATTTTCATAAAATTATATCAACAAAACTATTAAAATATAACTTACATTTGCTTTTCCATAAGGAATTAACTCCAGATTAACATAATGGGATAGGTTTCCTTGAAGTATTGGATATAGCTGATTAATTGTAAAATTTCTGGCATAAGGGCAAAGGGATTCATAGTACACTGTAACGTTAACCTGAAATAAAAAATATTTTTGTAGCATTTTGAAACTTTTTTGGTCCTATGTATTTTTTTCTAAAAATCAAATGTTTCTTGATTTAGTGAAAATATTATTTTCATAAAAAAATTGACTTCTACCTAAATAAATGAAAGTAACGATTTTTTTAACAAAAATAAACAATAATTTAGATATTATTAAGATTGAAAAGTAATTTATAAACTCTATTAAATTATCAAATAAAATAAATTTGAGAAAACAAGATATTAATATGTCTACTGCTGAATTTGAATCCCGGACAAAATTATAAATAAATTTATTTTAAATAATTTACAATTTTTTTTGTAAATATAGACAAATATCTTGTGGAATACTATTATTTATCGATTCTTCACAAGAATCACTCATTTTTAGTTGTATTTTAAACTCAATAACTAAAAAATATATACTGACAAGTAGTTTGATAAAATTGTTTCGTATTTAACAGTTAAAAAAATAATAATAGCCTGGGCATCAAATTAGAATTGTGATTGGTGAATTTCATATTCTTACTAGAATGGATTTGAAATTATATTGATTCAGTAGAACGCAACAAGTGCTTTTTGGGTCAAACTTTTTTCTCCACTTCCAAAAAATATGTTCAAGGAGTCATTCGTTTCGGAATAGCGAGTAGATAATTTAAATCAAAAAAATAGGATTTGGTTTTTTGCAAATATCTCAAAAACTATTTGACATTTTCCAAATTTTAGAAAAGATTCAAAAAGAAGAAGAAATTTCTTACAAAAAAGTTTTACCTCCTGGAACAGTAGGGCCAATATTTATAATTTTCCCAAAGGGTTGAAAATACTCTAGCTCCGACCACTATATGGACCTTTAATGAATACTTGAACATAAACATTGCAAATACGATAATTTGTAGTTAATTTTTTTCTAATTACAAATTTTTGCTAAAATCAAAAACTTATTTCGAACTTGTGAAAATAGTTCCCTCTTTATCATATTTCTGTAACCAACGGTAGCTTGGATTACTTTAGAAACATTTTTATATTTCACGTAACATATAAAGGGTTTATGTACTTAGTTTTTACAGGCGTACATAATTGGGGCGAAAACTGGAAAAGTTTTGTATGTCTCTTTTAAAAGTAAGTATTGTCCTATCTGTGTTCAAGCTTTAACTAAAAACATAAAAGCTGCAACGCTTAAATGTTCAAAAAATTGGGATGGGAAGACAATTTACTGCAACACAACTTCAGCAAGACTTAGCTGCGACTCGGAATGTGAGAATATCTTCAGAAAGCGTCAGACAAATCTTAAGACAGTTTGTAATTAGAGCTAGAGTACCTGTCACTGCCCTTCGTCTCACCAGGGAGCACCGTGTACTCTTCACAGACGAATCAAGATTCTGTTTATACACTGCAGATCGACAAATGCCTGTTTATAGACGAGATGGTGAAAGACCCTCGACCAATTTCGGGGGAGGGTCTACTATGCGGAAAAGTTTAATCTTTACGACATAACGCCACCAGACCCTTATTACAACCCACCATAGCTGGAGCGTCATCGGTTGTCAAGCCTACCATTTTCGATATCGGAATTTTCTCGGAAGAAATAATATTTTTTAAATGAGAAAACAACTCCTATCCAGTAGTGTGTCCTTTCAGTGGAATAAACTTCAAAAGATCTTCTTTAATCGTAAAATCACTAAAAACCATCCTGACGAACACGGCCATCTGGGCAGTGTTTACGACATCTGTTGATTCATCCAGTTGAAGTGAAAAATAAACACAGTTATCTAAGTCAGTTCTTAACTGTAAAACAATATCATTGCTCATTACTTCTACACGTCTCATCACTGTATTAGCAGAAAGTTGCATAGATTTTATAGCTGAAACTATCTAATCTTTATTTCTAAAGTTGGCAAATAACGAATCAGCAGCTTCTAAAAACGCCTGTTTTATCATTTCCTCGTCTTCATAAGGTTTCTTTTTTTGTGCAATTATCTGGGACACACGGTACGATGCTTCGGTGGTAGCTTTATTTTTGTTTACTGTTCTTAAAAATATTGATTGTTGTTTATAGACGAGATGGTGAAAGACCCTCGACCAATTTCGGGGGAGGGTCTACTATGCTTTGGGAGCATATCTTTAAGGGCTCACAAGGAATTAGTACTGCTCGATGGAGGTTTTTTAACTACTGACAGGAACATTAGAGACATTTTGGAGCTACATATTGTGACTTACGCCCCATTGATTGGTAACTATTTTCATTTAATGCATGACAATGCAGCCGTGTATCCAGGATAGTAACTGAGTATCTTCAGGAGGTCAATATTCGGGTTTAAGATTGGCCAGCGCGTAGTCCAGACTTAAAACCCAATAGAACATGTTTGGGACCATCTATACCACTGGTCGTCAACCTCTCAATGTGTTGAGCTACTTTGTTAATTTTGGAATAAACAGCGAGCTACCCACACGAAAGCCACGTAACGCAACGTAAATGAAATAATCCACAGTTAATTTATCATTATATGTATTTATTTTACTATTTAACTGGTAATACATAATACATACGTACTAATAATAAACTAATAACAAAATAACTAATATTACTAGTACGTACTTGTTCATAGCTACATTCCTACCTACCAAACGAAGGTGTTTGAAAAATAAACACAAACTTTTATCCAGCCACAACGGCATGTCACGTAAGATCTAAAAATAGTTAATAATAACAAAAAAGTAACGCACTATAATGAACATAAACATTGAAAAATAAAAAAACACGTTCAATGAGAAGGCTGACACTCAGACTCATCGATAATTTTTTTAATGTTTGCAGTATAATTTGATGCAGCCATTCGAATACAATTATCCAAATGTTCATCTGTAAGTCGATTGCGATATTTGTTCTTAATAAACTACATATTGGAAAAAGAAGATTCACACAAATAGGTTGAACTAAATAATGCTTTCACTTTCAAGGCAACACGGCAAAGAACTGAATATTTGTCTTTACTTACAATAAGCCAGATACATTTGGTACGATTTTAAGGCTAAATCATTTTGAAACTCAATTACTTCCATTTCTGTTGCAGCGATGTCTTCGCCAAAGTTCTGCATGACACAAGTTGCAAACTGTTTGATATCAATTTCCATAAAGGGTGAAACAACAAACTGCGCTACTAAAGCCATTTCGTTGAAATCCTTAAAACGATTTTTGAAGTTATTCTTCAGGGTAGAAACTATTTCTACATGATATTTGCTGTCATAGGGTTCTAATGGATTTTGAGATATTTTTTCTGAAAGAATAGAAAAACGCTTGGCATCGCTGTTAATTAGGTTTTGTTTTGATAAATGCTTTCATATCAGAAATCATTTCCGCTAGTTCTTTGTCTCTCCCCTGAAGCTGCAAATTAAGTTTGTTTAATTTCTCTGTAATGTCCACGAGAAAACCAAAATCTCTAAGCCAGATTGAATTTTCTAGTTCCGAAGTCGGTTCATCGCGTTGTTTGAAAAATTGAACTATACCATATAGGACATCATTAAAATGTTTCAGCACCCGTTCTCTACTTAACCATCGGACTTCAGAGTGAAGGAGTAGGTCCCCGTATTGACAGTCAACTTCATCGGCCAAGGTTTTGAATAATCTTCTTTGTAACGCTTGAGCTCTAATCTTGTTCACAATTTTTACCACCAGTTTCATAACGTTGTTTAGTTTCAGGAAATTTTCACACAATGCTTGCTGATGGATAATGCAGTGGTAACAGAGAAATTGCGGAAAAGTTTCATCTTTACGACATAACGCCACCAGACCCTTATCACAACCCACCATAGCTGGAGCGCCATCGGTTGTCAAGCCTACCATTTTCGATATAGGAATTTTCTCGGAAGAAATAATATTTTTTAAATGAGAAAACAACTCCTGTCCAGTAGTGTGTCCTTTCAGTGGAATAAACTTCAAAAGATCTTCTTCTAAAAATCATCCTGACGAACACGGCAGTGTTTACGACATCTGTTGATTCATCCAGTTGAAGTGAAAAATAAACACAGTTATCTAAGTCAGTTCTTAACTGTAAAACAATATCATTGCTCATTACTTCTACACGTCTCATCACTGTATTAGCAAAAAGTTGCATAGATTTTATAGCTGAAACTATCTAATCTTTATTTCTAAAGTTGGCAAATAACGAATCAGCAGCTTCTAAAAACGCCTGTTTTATCATTTCCTCGTCTTCATAAGGTTTCTTTTTTTGTGCAATTATCTGGGACACACGGTACGATGCTTCAGTGGCAGCCTTATTTTTGTTGACTGTTCTTAAAAATATTGATTGTTGTCCAATTAACTGCTTTTTTAACTGTTTCAGTTTCTCCTTTCTGGCGGCAGAATGTAGTGGGAATGATTTTTCAAAATTAGAATGTACAGTTTTATGATGTCTCTCAATATTTCCTTTTTTAGCAACGGAGACCGAAGTATTACATAACAAACACACATTTTTATGTTTAACTTCTGTAAAAAAGTATTGTTCTTTCCATTCCGAATGAAAGTGGTATGTCTTTACCTTCTTACAACTGCTTGCCATAATATTATTTTTTGTTGTTCTCTACCTTAGATAAAAGAGACCAGAGATATAACATACACCGGTTTTAAACCTGCGCAAATGTTGCCAATTTCTAAAGAAGGGTTAACGGAGTGGGGGAACTGGGCGGCGACACGCGGCGACCCGAAATCTGTGACAGGGACCGGACTTTGTTTATTAGCATCTTAATGAACTATTAAGTTTATTTAAAAGGTGTTTAATCGAATTTTGTATTATGAAATAAAATTAACGTGATTTTTTAATATCAAACAGATGCCACGACATTTTATGTAAAGAGAAGACCTTTTATAGAATATTTCGTTAGCGTTTATTTACTACGGACTTTTCTGCAAGAGATTGTAAAATGTTGAAATAGAATATATTGTTAATAGAGCAAAAAATGTTACTCATTGTCTACGAGTATTATAAAAATAGCATGTGC